GGTACATGTGATGTTTTGATACAGGCATACAATGTGAATTAATCAAATCAGGGTAACTGGGATATCCATCACCTCAAGCATTTATCACTTCTTTGTGTTAAGAACATTCCAATTCCACTCTTTTAGTTATTTTAAAGTATGCCATAACTTATTGTTCACTATAGTCACTTTGTTGTGCTATCAGATATTCCTCATTCTATCTAACTATAGTTTTGCATCCATTAACCATCCCCACTTTATCCCCCTTCTCTGCTACCCTTCCCAGCCTCTAGTGACTGTCATTCTACTCTGTGTCTCCATGAGATCAATTGTTTTAATATTTATCTCCCACATATGAGTGAGAACATGTCAGATTTGTCTTTCTGTGCTTGGCTGCCCTCAATATTTTAAATGTTCTCACCACACCAAGTATGCTGGGCAGGTGACATATGTAATATTATAAAAGCACAAACATTAGAATCAAACAGATCCCATTCTAATTTCAATTCTGCCACCAGTTGTGTGACCTTGGAGTTTAAATGAGATAATTCATATGAAGTTCTAAACCCAGTGCCTGAAATATAGTAAGGATTCAAAACATGGTAACCACTCAGGAGGGTATCCTCACTTCTCTCTAAAATTCTTGGCTCTGAATTGCATGTTCCCATAAACAAGTGAATTTAGAGCAGAGGTAATTGGTAAAAACTCAATTGCTTTCATCAAGACAATTATTTCATCAAACCAGGCTCAAAGAAAAACCCAACTGAAGTGCTTGATACACTTTTATTATATTTCATAACCATCTTTTGACACTTCTCTTGAGCAATTTTTGGCCCACCCTTTGATGTATGGCAGAATTTCAGACATGAAGTGTGGCTTTTGAGGGCTTTTCATATAAGTTATTGAATCACTGGAATTTATTTTAACTTAAGTGTTCAGAAATGATAAGCAGAAAGCCAGGTGTGATGGTGCATGCCTGTAGTCCTAGCTACTCAGGAGGCTGAGAGAGGGAGGGTGGCTTGAGCCCAGGAGTTCAAGGCCACAGCGCACTATGATTGCACCTGTGAAGAGCCACTGCACTCCAGCCTGGGCAATACAGCAAGACCCTGTCTCTGAAAATAATAATAATAATTAAAATAATAATAATCATGAGCAGAAACTAACTTCATAACCTGAACCCAAGACTAGAAGTCTGACATATTGAAAACTCAGTTACCAACCTTCTGATACACCTGCGTGCAAAAAATCCCTTCCCTCCCCTCCCTTAGCCTCTTCCTGATGAAATCTGGCTCCTAGTACATTCCTGCCTCATGAAAAATATGCTAAATTCATATGTGAGTGCTGAAAACTAGACAGTCTAAGAGTTTCGATTAAAACTATTTCTCAGGCCGGGCACGGTGGCTCACGCCTGTAATCCTAGCACTCTGGGAGGCCGAGGCGGGCGGATTGTTTGAGCTCAGGAGTTCAAAACCAGCCTGAGCAAGAGCGAGACCCCGTCTCTACTAAAAATAGAAAGAAATTAATTGGACAACTAAAAATATATAGAAAAAATTAGCCGGGCATGGTGGCGCATGCCTGTAGTCCCAGCTACCTGGGAGGTTGAGACAGAAGGATCGCTTGAGCCCAGGAGTTTGAGGTTGCTGTGAGCTAGGCTGACGCCACGGCACTCTAGCCCAGGCAAAAGAATGAGACTCTGTCTCAAAAAAATAATAATAATAATAATAATAATTGCACACAAATAAATGGCAGAGGATAGGCAAATCTGTTTAGAAGAATTCCAAATGACTTATGTAGATACTTTGCTCTCAAGAAGGGACAGCTTCACTCCCCACTCCTTAAGTATGGGCTGACTTCCTTTCAAAGAATACAGTATGGAAAGGAGGGGAAAATAGTTAGCTTTACAGTGGAGAAACTTGACAAACTACCTCAACGAGGTGGTCAAGGTCAACATCAACAGCGATAAGTCATGTTGCTAGTACGTATCCTGATATGAAGTGATCAAAATGGCTCTTCACCTCTATATTCTTCCTCCCCAAAACCCATATCCCAGTCTAACCATAGGAAAACGTCAGGCCAGGCTTAGTGGCTCACACCTGTAATCCCAGCACTTTGGGAAGCCAAGGCAGGAGGATCACTTGAGGCTAGGAGTTTGAGACCAGCCTGGGCAACATAGTGAGACGCCATCTCTACAAAAAATTTTTTTAAAAAATCAGCTGGGCATGGTGGCATGCACCTGCAGTCCCAGCTACTGGGGAGGCTGAAGCAGGAGGATTACTTGGCCCCAGGAGTTTGAGGTTGCAGTGAGCTTGGCTGACACCACTATACTCTAGCCTGGGTGACAGAGCAAGGCCGTATCTCAAAAAAAAAAAAGAAAAGAAAAACATCAGACAAATACCATTCGGAGGTCATGCTACAAAATACTTGACCAGTACTCAAACCTGTCAAGGTCTGCAAAATCAAGGTAAGTCAGAGAAACTGTCACAGTCAAGAAGAGCCCAAAGACATATGACAACTAAATGTAATATGGTATCCTAGGTATCCTGGATGGAATCTGGAACAGAAATAGGACATTAGGGCAAAATAAATATGGACTTAATTTAAAAAATAATAATAATTCTGGCCGGGCGCGGTGGCTCATGCCTGTAATCCTAGCACTCTGGGAGGCCGAGGCGGGCGGATTGTTTGAGCTCAGGAGTTCGAAACCAGCCTGAGCAAGAGCGAGACCCCGTCTCTACTAAAAATAGAAAGAAATTAATCGGACAACTAAAAATATATAGAAAAAATTAGCCGGGCATGGTGGCACATGTCTGTAGTCCCAGCTACTCGGGAGGCTGAGGCAGAAGGATCGCTTGAGCCCAGGAGTTTGAGGTTGCTGTGAGTTAGGCTGACACCACGGCACTCACTCTAGCCAGGGCAACAGAGTCAGACTCTGTCTCAAAAAAAAAAAAAAAAAAAAAGAAGTGGAAGCCTTAGGTGCCAGGGCCCAACCATTAAACTATCATTTCCTCTTTGGGGGCATTTGTACTCACTGCTCTGCCCACAAGGACAGATTCTGCTGTCCTCTCTTCCCAGAGGTGAACTTTCTGCACATTCTTGTGCCGGGAGCCTTGATTGTATAGAGCTTCTTCACTTTCCAGGGGGAAAGGCTTCATTTTGCTTTTTACTTTGCCAGAGTAGCTAACAATCACCTTAGTTAGGGTTTTCTTTCTTTTAGAACTGATTTATTTGGGTCTCAGCTGGAGAGGATTCTGAAAATCCTAATAAGGGATCAAAGACCCCAGAAAAATGACTCAGCACCTAGGTGAATGGTAGCTCTTTGTAAGCATTAACCTAATCAGAGTGGAGATGATGCTTTAACTTGAATTATTCCTCCTTGGCACTGCACCCTGGCCTACATAAATCTGTGGAAAATTCTCCCTATTCTCTCTTTTGATGATTTACAAGTATCTTTTCAGTTGTACATGTTTCCCTGCCAATTCTGCTTTTGTATAGGCTGTGGTAAGAAAAAAGTTAGAAAACCCACTTTATTGCAAGTCCTTTCTTGTTTTAATTGAAGGAAAAAAGCCAGGCATGATACAAACCCAGAAGAGTTCTTATGTCTCCAAGCTGTCCACAGTGGGGAAATGTTAGTGCACATTAAGGACAAGCTTGATGGGTTGAAACTGTCCAATGTGAGGGATACCCTGTGTTGGTAAGGGATTTGGTTCTTCACAGACCAATAGGATGGAGTGTAGAGTAAAATCCAAAGGTCAAGTGTGAGTTCAGCCCTTCCTTAAGGAGTCACGGTTGGTTCATTTGTGTCAGTGTGGAGGAAAACATGTTTCCCCTCTCCCATCTCTCTGTAGCCTTCCATTTAAAATGTAAGTATAACCAGCCCTCAGCTCCTCCTTGCCCCATAGAATGCATTGAGATGCTTTTAAATGCTGGCTCCAGCCCTCAGGGCACTGCTATCAATTACCTACAGGTAGAGAGTGTCTGAAATAATAACTCACTGCTCTACCTTGCCTGTCTAAAGATACATGGCCACAGCCAATCACCTGGCATGTCCTTAGTGTTCAACAAAAGAAGGGGGAATTTATATATTTCAGTAATAAGCACTCATGTTTAATGATTGATTTTGTATAATCATTTTAAGTAACCCAGTTTTCTTTCAAATTTTAATTTCTATGAACATATACTCTCATTATCCACATACTCTCACATTTAGGCCAGAATAACTGGCTTAAGTAAGAATAATCTCTGTTCAACCATACCTGTTCCTGTTTCTCATACCAGAGAGTTTTCCTAGCCCTTAACTAGTGATATTTTATTGACTAGTTTGAAATATCTAAATGAGTGAAGACCTCAAATTATAGACACTTCGTTTGCACAGTTCTTTTAGTCTCACCACATGGAAACTTTACATTTGAACGACAGTATGAGATATATCACTACAGTATGATATCAATATTATTGATCAAATATAGAAATTAAGGCACTCTAACATGGTGCTATTCAAAGTACAAGTCTTATAGAAACATTAGAAGTGTTTTAATCTCTAACCAGTGGGTAGATATGGATGTTTTCATAAAATGTTTTTCAAAGAAGAGTCAATTACCATTATTGCCCATTTTTATAAAGTTTAAGTAAAAATGTTCAGATTTGCCTTTAAAAACGCGTTGCTATTTCTCATTTTAAGGAAGAGATCTAAGATGCTGATAGGAATCTTTTTTAAAGAAAGAAAAAACATTTCCCTATCAAGTGAGATAATGTATGTAAAAGTGGTATAATCTTGAAGCACAATACATTTGTACGTTGTCATCATTTATGTTTGCCCTGAAATGGTGTCATAAAACAGGCTCAGAGCCCTGCTTTCTATGGGGACATCTGTGTGGTTCCCCCAGGGAGCTGATCTCAACAGGTACACAGGATCCCAACTCTGTACTGAGCATGCCCAACTCCTCCATCAGTACACAAAAAGTGTTTCTGAATAAAGCTTCCTCCAGTACCTTGCTCACCTGTATTCTCTCTTGTCTCTACAGTTTTGAACGACATCATCTCTACCATGTTCAATAGAAAGTTTATGGAGGAATTATTCAAACCCCAAGAGCTCTACTCCAAGAAGGCCCTGAGGACTGTCTATGACCGCCTGGCTCATGCCTCCATTATGAGACTGAACCAGGCCAGCATGGATAAGGTGAGCAGACAGCTGCCTCTGTCATCTTGGATGCATTTCTGTACCCTTTGTGGATGATCATAGACTAGGATCAAATGACATGAGCTATACAATGATGCCTTGAGAGAAATAGGCATGTGTAAATACCAGTAGCTGTTGAGTTTTAGGGAAAGACCTCGGAAGTCATCCACACCAACCCCTCGGTTGTTTGTGTCATTCCACCTGCCCAAAGAGAGTGCCAATTTTCATGCCTATGTTTATGAACCCCAGAAACACATGCCTTAAGTAAATATAAGCACTCAACCCTAAAAACTAATTCTGCCTCGGCCGGGCGCGGTGGCTCACACCTGTAATCTTAGCTCTCTGGGAGGCCGAGGCGGGTGGATCACTCAAGGTCAGGAGTTCGAGACCAGCCTGAGCAAGAGTGAGACCCTGTCTCTACTAAAAATAGAAAGAAATTATCTGGACAACTAAAAATATATATATAAAAAAAAAATTAGCCGGGCATGGTGGCGCATGCCTGTAGTCCCAGCTACTCGGGAGGCTGAGGCAGGAGGA